TTTACGTGTTGTTTACGTCACACTAGACTCATATCGAACTAGATTAGACGCGACGACCACCGTTCTTTAATTGCAAATAGTAATGTCTCCAATAACCAGAGCATTACAGTCTACGCTACAATACGCTGTCTGTATTTGGATCACAACACGATGTATAATTAAGGGACGGGTTTCATAAGCATTGCTGAACATATTGCACAGCTTGTATATAATTGAATATGTCATGCGTACAATGATTTTACTGGAGTTTATATAAATATAATTTGGTCACCGCCTCATTACAATTCAACAATTTAATCCTGACACATGGCTGTCTCTGTTAAAACGTTCTGTATTTATAGTTCAATATACATTGGTTTATTAACGGTATATTGAAGCGGATAGAGTTGTTTGCTTCATTGACGATATTCCCCACGTTATATTCATCGCCTAGATTTGAAAGTATTCTGTACATTTTCTATATTGGGTATAAATTATGTTGTATTGTGTGTGGTAATAGCGTATTCGCGTATTCCTTCTTGATGAATTAAATGGTGATTCTTGTGGGAAATGGACCACTCCGTTGGAGACTGCAAGGAACTACATTTACGATGCATAAATACCCAATTACAGATAAATTGGATGATTGGTTCATGATAGAAATCACGTGTGGATGTATACACAATCATCGGTTATATAATGTGATACTATTAAGGCATTACGTATACAAAATACTATTCAATAGAAGTGATTATAAAATGTGTTAATATGCAAAAAAATACAACAAAACACCTATTTGGTCAGTTTGCAATTTACCAACTATTATCTCCTCGATACTATAATTGTTCTGTTTGTACTTTGATGTGATCATGTCTGGTAGATACAAAACGTGCGCTTCGAATCTATGTATATTTAAAGTGACAATATTATGTCATCGTTACGAATATCTGGTGACGCTACCAAATATATCTAGACCACGACGGTCAATTTATCGAAATATTACTGCAGTTGCCGTGTTTACACAGTAATAATTCAATGTTATAATGTTTTAAGGATGTAGTAAAGGTTTTTTTTCTTTGAAAATGTCAAATTTACTTTTTTTTCCATATTCTCTTATACGAATATATGAAGCATGCATTTACATAGAAACAAACAATTGTAGAGATGGTTTAGAAGGGTAATACATTTTGAATAAATCTGAGATACAGTGTGTTTTATATTTTTTTGTGATTTGTCATGCTTAAGTAAACATCGTTATTTAGGGTTAGTTTAGAAAGTTGATCTCGACTCCCAGCTGCTCCACGATGGTGATTTTTGGCATAGGTAATCTCTGATAGCTGCTAATGAAATCTGGCAAAGATAGTTTGTATACCACTTTGACTTTCGAAAATAAGACACAACTCTCCCCTATGTGAACTCTGAAACATGGTACCACATTTCAAAACAACGTTGACAATGATTTTAAAAAGCGTTATGGGGTAAAAATCTAGGTCACGCTACAGTAGAGGAGCTGGGAAATTAAATTCAAACCTTCTCTGAATTCCGCGAACATCAATACTGTGGCCTTATTTCGGTTTCTTTGAAAATAACACCTCTCTATTTGCACAGTGATCAAGTGATTATACGGTATCATTTTTTTGCTGGAATATTTATTTCATATTATTTGAGAAATAAGCTTTCTAAAAATATATAACTTGATGGGATTCAAAGAATATGTTACTTCAGAAATGTGCTACGCAATTGCAATAGAAATAACCTCTACTACATTTTTGAGACAATTTGTCGAAAAATATATAATCTTATCAATTTTAGAAAAAAAATTAATACTTCAATCACAAAACGATTCTGAGCTGATTGTTCCAATTCCTAATAAAACTTGGGGAATAACATAGAAAATAAAATGTATGTATATTGTATCGACGTCAATAGTTTGCCTGTCATTGTAAAGATGACGCACTTAGGAAGGATGTCAATTAATCACCACATGGGAGTGTGACATCGTACTTATGTGTTCAGATATATCTTGACCCTGACCTTGAATCGTTCAATTATTACAAAGTACAGTTACACCAGAACATGACAAGTACGGTCGTTACTTTCACCGAGTGTATGGTACGGTGGAAACATGCAACTCTATACATTTGACGTGCAGGGATATGTCCCCCGTGATTAATTATTAAAGGATCTAGCCAAATGTCACATATATCTTATTCACGTCAACCTGACTACATTGTCCTTTGTCACATGTTCCCGATTAACAGTACAAACGATTTTCATCTATGTATTATTTGTTTTTGGCCCAATCGACGAAAAGTAGCACAACTTGTAGACATAGGAACCCTAACCCCTTCGAGTTCTACTATTTTTTTCTTCACACGGGTACATGTACTAGGATTTATATCCGATTCGATTCTGGGAATCAAACCAGTACCGCCCTGGTGCAAAGCGATCATGCTAAGCATGCCTAGGAGCTAGGTTGTCGGCACTATCATATGGCACACCCTATCAAAACATGCAACACAACAAACATACTATTAAATACTGTCACTCTGTGGTCAGCAAGAGGGCATACTTTTTTTTTATAATAACAGTATATATGTCGCGTTATGGGTCAGTGTTGCATTTTATTGCTCAAACATTTCAATTATTCATACCCACACACGCCTACACATTCAATGTAGATACACGGATTGTTAACTATATATATTGTGTGAGCCACCAAACTGTGGATCATGCTTGGAACATCGTCACACATGGTAGTTTAATGCATACACAAAATTTACTACAAAGGTGATTACTCTCATTCTATTTATTTATTTATTTACTGTCATTTACTTCTTATTCTATCGCCGATATGCGTGAATTCGGGTCAGTTGAAAATTACATGTTTCGTTCCAGATATACAGATGAGTTAGAAATGTATTAATGAGCGAAGTATTGCTTATGATGGAGCATTGTCTTGTCCCGCGATTCCATAGGCAGTTAGAATGAAACGAATGTTATCGCATGTAAGAAACATTAATTCGGTAAACATGACATGGGCTTTGCTGGATATAAAAGCTAATTTAAACTTGAATTCAAAAAATGTTTGTATTATAATCTCCGTAATGTTCATCATTTACATACCAGTGCTTGTTCCGCATATGACAAACACTGAATATGTCGAGTTTAGCATGTTCATCATTTACATACCAGTGCTTGTTCCGCATATGACAAACACTGAATATGTCGAGTTTAGCATGTTCATCATTTACATACCAGTGCTTGTTCCGCATATGACAAACACTGAATATGTCGAGTTTAGCATGTTCATCATTTACATACCAGTGCTTGTTCCGCAGATGACAAACACTGAATATGTCGAGTTTAGCATGTTCATCATTTACATACCAGTGCTTGTTCCGCAGATGACAAACACTGAATATGTCGAGTTTAGCATGTTCATCATTTACATACCAGTGCTTGTTCCGCAGATGACAAACACTGAATATGTCGAGTTTAGCATGTTCATCATTTACATACCAGTGCTTGTTCCGCAGATGACAAACACTGAATATGTCGAGTTTAGCATGTTCATCATTTACATACCAGTGCTTGTTCCGCAGATGACAAACACTGAGTATGTCGAGTTTAGCATGTTCATCATTTACATACCAGTGCTTGTTCCGCAGATGACAAACACTGAATATGTCGAGTTTAGCATGTTCATCATTTACATACCAGTGCTTGTTCCGCAGATGACAAACACTGAGTATGTCGAGTTTAGCATGTTCATCATTTACATACCAGTGCTTGTTCCGCAGATGACAAACACTGAATATGTCGAGTTTAGCATGTTCATCATTTACATACCAGTGCTTGTTCCGCAGATGACAAACACTGAATATGTCGAGTTTAGCTCGATAAGCCGTTGAGGCAACCTCTCAGCTATCGCTTTGCTGTGTAAACTGCCAGTACAAACCTGATTGGTTTTCCGACTACTAAGCTAAACTGAATAATGAAAAAAGCCCGTAAATAAAAACAACATGACGATGTAAATTATTATTAGACAATTATTCATATGAACACAGAACTTGATAAATGATATTGAACAAAACAAACAAACAAGTTCAACATATTTCTCGCCAAAAGCTACCAGAAATACGTCACCATGTTTTATCATCTGTGTTTTCTTCATACTTACAATTATGCTTTATATAGACCACAAATCATCAGAAACTATAACGCCCTCAGCGACCATTTTAAGGTAAAGATGCTTAACTATATTGAGTTCTTGTAGTTCATTAAATATAACGATATCCTGCCACATATTGCAACAGAATACTCCGTGCATTGCAATACAATAATGATAATATAAATAAAATCATGCTATTTCTTAGTATTTGCTCCAAAACCAAGGGTTTTGTACTTGCCATTTCACTTCTTTAATGAATAAAAGTACAGTTACTAGCTTGTACTATTGATATCTGTCCAATCGTTTGAGACAATGTACATCTGTATGTCTGTATGTCTGTACGCATAACTATATTACCATGACAGCTATGCAAAACAAATGTGAACAAATATATCAGGAAGCTGATACAATTGTTTTGCATGGTTTACAGTAATATATTTACGCTTCATGTACGCAGGTGTACGTTCTCTTTAGCGATTGGAAAGATAATATTGGCACTAGCTAACACATGTGCTTCCATTCATTTGATTAGCGAAGTTGAATGACTGTTACATAACCTCTGACAAAATAATCTTTGTCATTGGAGCAAATAGTGAATAAATAACATGATTGTATTTAACAACGATTCTTCGATTTAGGCAGATTTTTGATTTAATGTTTAAGGGGATATTTGTGATCTGTTTTCATGAAAAGACATTTCACCTAGTGTAAGGTGTAAAATCATTTTAACTGCTCTATTTAACAGATCAATTCGAAATTTAACAAGATTATAAACCGAATAGAAAACAGCTTCAATAATACTTCATTCTCAAGGTGTTTGTTTTGTCATATTCAATAAACGTCAAGTTCAAATCTTTCCAAAGTTAGTGATAACCGAATAATGGCAATCGAATCGAACTGCCTTTGATGTGTGAGCTTCTAAAATACCGTTCGCGAACCGGAATTCTTTCTTTTTGTCCGGAGTAGTAACAGTGACTGAGTGTGCCGCGGTGTTGTTTGGTAGCTCAGTTAGGCTAACGAACGTCGACTTCATCCGTGATTGCGACGTACAGTCGCATCGATCACAACGGAGAATCCTGCGAAACGCTCGTCGGAATTCCTTGTTCAGCGCGGAATACAGCAGCGGATTTACCGTCGAGTTAACCCAGCCAATCCATGTCATAATGGTAAATGCGATTGGCGATACAGTATAATTAATAAATGGATTCACAACATTTGTAATAAAAAACGGCAACCAACATAAAAGAAAGCAGCCCATAATAATGCCAAGCGTTCTAAGTGCCTTTCTCTCGCGTTTGAAATTAATAGAAAATTTGGCTAAGGTTTTTCTTCTTCCCGATGTAAACGTCACCGGCTCACGCTCGAATTCCTGAATTTTCTCCGCCTGTATTCTTGCAATTTTGAAAATTTTTAGGTACGCAAAAATCATCAATAAAAGAGGTATATAGAACGATATTGTCGAAGCAGTCGCCGCGTAAATTTTGTTAGGAACAAAGATACACTTAGCATGTACGACTTCCATGGGTGGTAGTTCGAACGCCCAACCAAAGCTGATTGGCAAGACTGAGACCACGATAGATACCAACCAAGCGATTAACATCATTATCTGTACCCGTCGTAGAGAACCTTCCCCGGCATATCGGAAAGGATGAGACACGATGTAATATCGATCCACTGATATCATACACAGATTCATTATAGACGCTGTGCAGCATAGCACGTCCATGATAATCCATAATCGGCACATTATATCGCCTAATATCCACCCACCCGCTATTTCGTCCACCATGCTGGGTAGCATGACAAATATTCCGACAAGCAGATCGGCTACAGCTAAGCTCACCATGTACAGGTTGGTAGCGTTGCGGAGATGTCGGTACATCATCATGATAAGGAAAACGAATACATTTCCAATAACAGTCACAACAATCGTTATACTGAGTAATACTCCTATTAGCGCAACGCGGACCAAGTCCCGTTCTTCTGTATAGTATACCACGTCAGTCAGGTTTCCGTTGCTGTCATTAGACCGGTTCCGGCTGTAAAACATCGCCATAGCCTCGACGCACCATGTAAACTTTTCACAGTTGCGAGTTACCATGCGCCAATTCAGATATTTTCATTACACACTCATTTTTCATTCTGTATAGCGTAATTACAATATGAGTTCCGTTGCTGTGGCGACCGTCAGCAGATGTGATTCCCAATCAGAAAAACCACACACATGCACACGCCGATTTACTCACGGCCAGCAGCCTCGCCGCGACAAAATTACGACCAGGCTTTAGTAGGGAGATGTGGATACACCGAGCACGACATGGAGTATTGGGTGATATGAATACCAACAACAATGTTGCTCGTTTGTCAAACAGTCCCGTCTAGACATGATGCGAAGGAGCATATCTCTCAGAAGAAGTATCGTTATCTCCTCTTGTAGATGTTTCCGCTGTGTTGTACCAAGAGCCTAGCCACTGATACAAGACACCTAGTGAAAAGGAAAAAAAATCACATAGGTACGTGAGAAGAATACAAAGCTGCGACCGTATTGCAATAACTGAATACACATTGAGCTATTAATACGCCTCATATACGTATAATATCTTATTTGAGAGATGTCACGTGGTACCAACTTGGTATTTGTGACATTCAACGAACTAATCCTAAGGCGATTAACGTTTCAATCTTTATAGCGCTAACTTTTAATCTGGCATAAACCTCTATTATTGTACAAGATGAAAATATTGAATATCGTTACGGTAATATATCTAATCGAGAGTGTTGAAAAACAAGTGTTGTTCCATGTACTATGAATCCATCGTGAAATATAGCAAGTTGATATTTTCAATATTCCCTCGACAATTTGATTGGTACCCTGCACACAATTTCATCATTTGTGATCATACGTACACTAAACTAAATCAAATTTAAAGGTGTTCGATTTTTAATACTGAGTGTATTGAGGTTTGCACATGCGCGTATGAGTAACTCGCATGGCAATGCTCGATATGTTATTGACATGTGCACCACGGGGTGTAGATTTCAATAGTTAATATCCATGAATAGAATAATGACAAAAAACGTTCATCACCGGTTCACAATTCATCTTTAAACGTACATGGTGAAAATATCCCTCATTTTTAAATTTGGTAAGGAATCGATTTTTATTATTCCATTAGGGGCAGGCCATTCGATAAGTGTATTGGTTGGAATTTTTGTTTTCGAATGATGATCTTTTTTACCATCGATGACAGTTGTTTTACAACATAGAAGAAGTACAGAAGTATTCAGCACCCAGGGCATTCATACATGTACCGCGGTCGTGCGGTTCCTTTGATCCTACAGCAAGAACTGACCCCACACTCGACGACTCGTTAAATACTGTACACACAATTTATTTATTTATTTATTTGAACGATTTATTTCTAACCACTACGCAATTTAAGAAATCTACCACGGCGTTGTTTTTGTTTATTCTAGCAACTGCTTAAGACCACTATTCTGTTTGCGCTATTTAAAAATGTGCAAACTACCGTATCACAATTGTAACGTAATTTTATCACTTTGTATCCACTTTTATATAGAAATTATAATAACAAGACAGGTACATCCAAACATACATCGATTGTATTTTTTACAGGACAATTTAACACTTTAAAAATCGTTACGAAATTAATATATAATTTAATTACCCTTGTCTTTACAATGTCCGCTCCGTGCTAGGAGGTGTGGACAATGATAAACTATCATTGCGTCACGATGAAATTTTAACATTCACACAGCAAAGTCTAAAAATTGATATACACACACTGACTGCACCCAATGCAATTAAAACATTTATTAAACCGACTCATGAAAATGAAAACTTTATTGTGATTGGCCAACAACTTCTTGTGACTCCAATAGTAACTATTCACATATTTGCCACACACCTAGTTATGGCAGTCTTATAACAATGTTTTGTTTCAAAAAGTAGTGATTTGGCCTAATTTCATCAACTTTTCGTTGTTTTTAGGACATGTCCATACCGCTTTTTTGTTCAAAGTTGGCAGGATTTTTGACCAATTACTATTTCATCCCAACAATCGAAATAAGCAATAAATAACCTGTCATGTCTGGGTCGATATAATTTACATTAATATTTTTAGACCTCTCATACGCATGATTATACTGGTAACATTACCACAAACATGAATGTTTGCCTTATCGAGTGCGTGTTCATCATGCCATGGCATACAACACAATAGTTCGAGCTTTTGAACAGTCTCCTAAAATAAACACAAAATGTGCACATTCTATTAGAATAAGCACGCACCATATGATGTATCCGACAATATGGCCGCTAAGATCTCGTTGAGAATGAGAGAGTCATGTGACTTGTTTAGCGTTAGTATAAATAGTGTTCTTTACCGTCATCGCGTCCACTGTTCCGCCAACCCATGTGACTATGGTGTTTGGAAGAGTGGACGTGATGGCGGCATAAAATTGTATACTCTCAAAAAGATCCCGGCAATCATTTGTGAATAAAGTCTATTTTATAAATCACATTCAACATTTTATAACCCATTTGTCCAATTAGTCATTTCTGACCGTTGAATCAATCACAGTAAATAACTTCCTGTCGTAAATATCCATTTCATATTTCTTATTGACCTAAAATGATAGCGATTATGATTTTATTCAATCTTACACCAGCGACGGCAGGTAAATACATTTAATGAAAAATGCATTTGCACGCCCGAGAACCGATTGCGCGTAGATCTTGAAAGCACTTCCACTTTGGCAAAACGCTGAAATCACCCTCTTTCTCGCAGAATAACAATTGCAGAAGAAAAAGAAAATGACTTGTGTTACCTTATCCTCTGTCTAGTGAATTTCTATATGTTGAGGTCGTAATGATCGAGGTACAATATAATGGTGAACACCGGATGAGGGACACATTTTACGGGGGGGTGTTTTCAAATTTACAATATCCAAACTTTTCATTATTCCCCATTTGATTGCTAATATACACTGGTATGCACAATCAAAAGTTAGAAACTGATAATAATTTTGGCGCCTGTTTCAATCTTAGATTATCAAAAGAACAACAGCATATTTTGTTGGTTAAATGTGATTAATAAAAGCAATTACCAAACCTTACATATCCCATTTAAAGGGCGAACTTCATGACGTCATCAGTTCTGATTGTCCAATAGTAGCAGCCATGCACTCATGTTGGGTGTTCAGAACTAGATGTGTAAAATATGGTGCTCGACGGATGCCATTACATTCATGGTTCAAAGTTGTTTCAGTTATGAAATTAATATGATGTACTGTAGTCCCCCCTACCTAGACGGAAAACAGTTGTCGTACACGAACACGGTGTTTGCTAGTATAAATATATACCCTGCGCACCTGAAAACTGAAAACATTAAAAACATCTAAATCGTGCATGTACTGCGTGTACTAGTCTGATAATTTATTATGACAGTTTCACGGGACATATTGATGAAGTCGCTCACGACTCACCTTGACACCCCATCGTCTCTCTCATATCAAACACACGACAGTTCTATTTCATAGTAATTAATGTAGCGTCTAGCTTAAGGTCCAGGCCAGGCTACGAGATAAGCGTTTTAAAAAATGTCCGCCAGCAATTCACAATTTTCATAGGAGTTTAGTGAGTATATTGGACAGTATATTGCTTTAGGTAGGCATTATAAGAGGCGAGTGTACATATATATACATTATAAGAGGTGAGTGTACATAGATAGACAATATAAGAGGCGAATGTACATAGTAATACATCATAAGAGGCGAGTGTACATAGATAGACATTATAAGAGGTGAGTGTACAATACACGGCATAGATTCAGTTTACACTAACAGACTAACATACTAATTTCTCAACTCTGAGAAAGAATAATGACAATAATATATTTTCAGTTTTCAGTCACGCCTTCATAATTTCTTTTTAAAAAATCATTGAGAGTTAAAGATATTCTTTGCATTTTCTGAATTATGATTACTGAAACAGAATTTACAAAGTAATTTACATTTATGAAAATGCCAAGTTATTTCAAACTTGTTTTTATGTCCTGGCATATAATATTGTTTTTATAGCATTGGGAAGTTTTTAAACTAAATAATATCCTTATTTTTTTATTAATTTATTTACTTAGTACACTTTTCCAGAATATGATTTTCTGGTAATTGAGCATGCTACCGTTGTTTTGATTCTTATAACTATTATATACTATAATATAAATAAAGTAATTTCAATACATTGACATGCGTCCAAATTGCTGAGACGGTTACTAAAACGTGTGTCTAATATACAAATGAACTGAATACCAAAGGAAAGGTTGAAATGTACTACTACGAAATTGGACTTGTTGACGATGTCGCTCGTATGCATGAAACATAAAACACAGGTTACCCTCAAATCGTTAATCAATAAATAGTACAAGAAAGGTTTAGTATAACTTGCCGCGGCGAAATACAAACCATAGGTGAGTTTGTTGATTAAGTAGAACTATCTAATTAGAATCAGAATATTTAATATATTATTTCGCATTTGCTGTATTATTATATGCAGTGGCAGCTTTGATGTGTAGTTTAGATTATTCACTTCCTTTTAGTGTTTCTATATTTTAAAAAAAATGTATCGTTATATAACCATTTTGTTAATAACCTATGACCTCTATCCTGATAGGTTCACAAACTGGAAACTAGGTAGCACGTGACCCGCCATGTTTTTTCCTACCGATGTATTTTCACGTTTCATAAAACAACATCTTGATGTTTTAAGGAAAAAAGAAAACTTTCTATCTACGAACGAGGATTCAACGGAACAATTTGAAAGTTTCGCCATACAACGAACTTTTCAAGTGACATTTCAAAGTCATCCTTATGCAACCACACATCGGGACGCAAAAAGAGATCGAATCAAACTGCAAACTTTGCTACCACCCATTGAACAACTAGTATCCGACTACAAAACAGTTCCAGACAAAACTTTCGCATATCAGTAAATCACCACCACAAACATAACCGTTGATATACGAGTTGAAGCAC